AATGCTTTGTTTTGAAAAAAGATGTATGCGTGAGAACCCTAGTCTAAGTGTCCCGTATGTTAGTGCCTTTGAGGATGCATAAACAGTGAGAGGTCATCGGCCCGTAGATTCGGAGAGGTGACGCCCAGGTCCGTATGATATTCGTGAATGGGAAAATCATCTCTACTGTCTCCTGGAAAGGATCCCAGGCCCGTAACCATTCGGTGATGGGAAGGTTTCCAGTTACTTCCTTGCCGTGTGTGATCGGAAGGTTGTTGTATGTACATAGGAGGTTTGCGATAGGGCCAAGTTGGGAGTTAGACTGTTGGATTCTATGTATACTGAATACTATGGTTTTGATGGTTTAAAATGTTATGCGATATAAACTGTGCGATAATGGTGAGCTTGTTGGTTATGCTCACCCCCATTATTTTTTTTGTTGTGTCTTCTCTTCCTTTGCTTTAGGTTGAGACGAGCTGGAGGCGGTGGCGTAAAGACGAGCGAGATGGTGGTCATTTACTGGATGTGTCTTTGCTTCCGCTTGATTTTATTTATGTTAAACTACTTGCTTTTGTTTTGGATTGTTAATGCTTCCGCCGATTTGAATTATTTTTTTTTTTCTTTCGAACTATTTTTGAGTTACGTTTGAACCTTGATTTATGCTAGACGATTGAGAATGATTTTTAGACTTATGTTCTTTCATGGGATTGGTTATTTTGATAGCTGGAGCAGGTGTAGGTTCTTTGAATGATTGGTTGTATGGTTTGCTGTTATTAATAAGAAGCGCCCGATTCTTTAAATGTTTTTTTTAATTTGGATTTAAAAAAAAAAACTCTGATTTTTATTTAAATAAATTTGTTAAATTCTTTAAAATAAAACGGGGCGTTACAGTTTGGTATCAGAGCCAGTCTAGCTTCTTTGTAGACTGGTTCATTTGTGATTAAGTGTTTAATGACCATTGACCACTCGCTTCGTCTCGCCGCGCCAGCTCAAGGTATGAAGTTATGGTTTCGTTTAATTTATCTGGGGCTTAGGAATCTTATCTTCTATTGAATGATTTTGAACTCTAGTGTTTCATGGCGAACTCTAGATTCCCTATATTTATTTTAAATTTTGTTTTGGTGTTATCGAGTTAAGTTTGGTCTATAGCAGTGCACTCATTATGAGTTTCTATTTAGTACCATCGAGTGAGAATCATTCGTAAGCCATCTCGAAAGAGAAGGCTTAAGTAAAGGGAACAGACAACCGAAGGAGTCCCAGGTGTATGGATTATTCAGAAGTCTGTAACTATTGTGGCTAGAACTATTAGACACGTGTAGAACCCGGTCAATGGGAACCGGGAGTGGAGTCTAAGTGTTGGGTTCAAGTTGATGATCCGACCACTTGTTCTTGTAGATTCTTAGAGATCAGTTTGATGGCTGCATTCCTTGTTATAATTTGCCCGCTATCATCCGTTCCTTTCTCGTTAGTTTGTCTCGTGAAATTCTTCGTGGGTCATAGAACTCTGTTGTTGAGTTATTGATACCCTCTTTGTTATTTATGGCTGAGTTGTTATCATATATATTCGAGCTTTGACTTGTCATCCGAACCTTCATTCCGTGATTGTCGAACTTTTTAAGAGTTGGGTTCGGAGAACCTCTTTTTTTAAAACCGTTCATTAATGACGATTTGGTCACTGATTTGACCCCTTAAACTCGGTCGATAGGCTTTGAACTCTTCTGATGAGTTAAAGTTCTATCTCTTATGTTTCATCTTGAGCAAGAACCAAGTGATTATCGATTGTATGCTGGATGATGTGACAAAGTTCTTCGAGAGCGCGTCCAGTTTTGCTGGTTTTTCGATCTTATATATGATCTGTTTTCATTGTTGTTTTTTAGCCTTGAAATCCCGTCGTCTCTTGTTGTAACCTTCTTGTAAATTATAGATCAGCCTATTGCCTTTCATGAGGAACAGGAATCGCGTGTTTATCATTTTATTTTTGTTGAGATTTGCTCCGGAAACCCGATCGTTGTATAGTCAGTTTTTCGTGTAAACCGCAACAGTTGGAGTCTTTTATTTTCACTATTTTTAGCATGCTTCTGGTAATCTGGGAACCTCGATGTCTTCATATGAATTGTAGTTTTGTCTCTTACGATTCAAACGGCGCAAGATTCATTCAGGGGATGCGTTCAAGATACGAACTTCGTGCAATCAGATTTCTGGAAATTTGCAGCAAATATTAATGTGCGAGCTCGATCTATTTTCAATCCTTTAACCTACCGTTCACGCCTTTGCTACCCGAGTGCTATTCATTTGTCCTTGATTACTACCTTTCGCTTAGTAGTCAAGTTTGAATTGTATTTCGGGACCCATTCTTATTATTTGATTTTTGTTCCGTGACAAATTTGCTTGATTTTCTTTTCCTTGCGTAGAATTTTGGGATGAAGTTGAGCATCGAATTTCAGTTTCTATTGATTCTTATTTGATATCGAACCGTGTGCAGTAACTTCGCTAAGTCGGTGCGAAGGTCCACTTTAGAATACCTTAGCTTCGAGATAAACGACGATCAAATTTTTCTTTCGTGATCTATTTTAACTTTGAACCAAAGTGGCGTGCGTGAGAATCTTTTAAGGAGGGTAGTCGAGCCCGATGCAGAGCCGTCTTCGTTTTTGAAGTGTATTCATAAAATTTTTGGAAACTCTTGTTCTTTTCTCTTCGAAATTTTAAGAGTGACCTTTGTATTTCTTTGACTTTTGCCAATCCTCTGAAAATAATTGTTTTTGTTTTGTTTGGAGTTTCATTTCAAGAATTGCAACCTTATGTATTGATTAAGACAAGTACTTTCGTTTTTCCGCTTGTCTTGTATCATTCTTTCGATTTTGTGATGCCTTTCGGTCTGGGTGTTCCATTCGTACCCATATCGGTTGGTCGTGGCTCTTATCGTTGATGATTTATATTCGAGACGCGATCGAGGCAAATCCACCAAGAAGGCTTTTTGATGAGATCCAGAAGTCGTGAAAATCTTAGCAGCGTTGAAATTTAATTCGTTTAGGACTGCCGACACGATTACCTACCGGAGATAGAGCTGACGTGACGGCCGACACTGTTAGTCGGAAGAGTCATGCGAGCTGACCATTTTCATTGTTCGGCAGTGACCACTTAGTTGGGATGATGCCTAGCTGAGGGTGCCGATATTCGTTTTCCTTAGGAGTTTTCCTCCATAACTCTAATATATGTTATCCGCTTGAAGTTGTATGGTTTGGGGAAAGACGTGATGATTTGAAAGCCCTGAACCACTCGAGTTTGTTAATGCCTAATTACTGGGGGAAAATGTTTGTTGTTTTTGTGGAAATCTTTCCTTCCGGGTTACCTTAGATAGTGCGAGCCTTGTATTAGAGTAGTTCTTTTCTATACCTCGAACCGAACACCGACACTGACTGGGTGTAGTCACGCGAAGTGGTGGTTGAGCACGCGAACCCGTGCTGAGAGACGTGAGGCACTGCAGGGCCGATCATTGACTCGCACGAGAGCTGCAGCCACCATCACCGAACACAGGAGCTCCACAAGCCAGTGTGCGGCCGAAAACTTGACCTTGCAGCTGTTCTCCGAACAGATATACGCACACGTCCCAGCGCCCCGCTTATGCAGCGCCAGTGTGTGTCACATCTCTCGGGTGAAAGTGCATTAAACCCCGGACTGGCTATGTCCTTTTAGATCGTTATTATGGGATTATCGAGCATCCCTATTTGAGAGTCAGTTTCTGCGATAGAAGTTGTTTTCGAATATCTAGTCGATACTTTCTAAACCGCATACGAGCTGTTACTCGTGTCAGCAAGGAATGAGGCTTTGTCAGCGCTATCAAGCAGAACTTTGACTTCTGTAGGTATCAGTGTTGAGTTTGTGGTGTTGTTGTTGCTTTGTTAGCATTTTGTATGAGATCCCGTGGCGGCCCGTTTGATACGGACGCACGGATCACATTGAAATCGTGGGCAAGTCGTCAGCGTGACCCGGGCACGAGACTGAACTTGGAACCGCGTAGAAATCCAGATATTTATGCGTTTAGGACATGCTGTCAGGACCCTGAGAGACTGGTTGGAGTCTGGTGTACACGATGGGTGTGTCGTGTGGAATTTCTTACCATAAGAAAGTGCGCTTATAGCAATGGCTATGAGTGACGATCTCGATGGTACCGTACAAGGTTCTGAGTACGGGAAGAGGTGTTGTACGCCTCGAATTCTGGGAAGAGAGGAAGTATCAACCACATTTGTTGGTCCTTTTGGGGATTCTCTACCGAGCCGACAACTTAGCCTGACGGTTGACCCCATCACCGGAGCTTACAAGAGTGCACGACCTGTTCAGTACCTCGCGGAGAGGGGGACATCTGCGTCACTCTGGGCACGTGGTGAACTTTGACGAGCTGCATGTGGGCAGAACCTTACCTTTGATGAGGTACTGATGACCTACTGGATTGACGAATCCAGCAGGGAGAGTCTGGAAGAGGTACTCGTCAAAGTCTGGCGGGGTAACCGTGGCTAGTGCGGTGTGACTTAGTAGAGTGGGAAAATTCGGACGGGGTATCCGAGTTTAGTGGTTTGAGTTTCTCTCTTATGTCAGTTGTCCGGTTGGATGATTTTCTTAGAATTTTGGGGACGGAAATCATTTAAGGAGGGTAGACTGTAATGCCCCATTTGTTTGTAGTTTATTTGTGGATTATTTGAGAATATTATTATTATTTTTATTAATGTTATTATTATTATTATTTATGTGATATTATTGTTTGCCCAAATTTGATTAATTGATAGTTGTCTAAATGTCTAATTTATCTTTGTGATTAATTATTAAATGTGAATAATGTGTATTTATATATAAGTGTAAATATATATGTTGTTCGATTTATTTTATCGTGCGTTTGAATCGAAGTTGGGCCCGAGAATATTCGTTTGTATCGAATCCGAGCCCGTGAGTCGGATTAATGTCGCGAACCAGCCCAACTGAAAAGAATAGAAAAAAAACGGCACATTACTTGCTCAGCCCAATAGATGTTAAGACTCCCGTTTGCAAACCCTTAGCAGCTCAATCTTTTTTTTCTCCTTCCCGTCAACACAAGCGCCGCTATCTCTTTCTCTTTCGTTTCTCTCACGTTGTGCAGAAAAATCTCTTCGCCCAGTAGTCATCGATCTCTCTCTCTCGATAACCCATCTTTTCTCTCTCGCAAAGTAACGCCGCAGCCTCTTCTGTCTCTTTCTCTCAATCGATCTCTCCCTCACTGTCAATTCGCTGCCCAGAATCCCAGCCGCGATTTTCCATCGCCGAGAAGCTCATCGCCATCGCCAGAGGTGCGGCCTCAGTCTGATAGCCACATCAAGATTTCGTCCGTTTAGCATCTCCCTCAGATGACCCTCGAGCAGCAACCGCCCACGGCGAGCAGCAAGTCCCCGCAGTGACTCGAGCCTGCCCGAGAAGAGAACTCCATGCTGCTCGTTCACGTCGAAGCCACCATCTCAGCCACGCGACTTCTTCAAGAGATCCCGTCCTCCACCACACGCGACCAGCAACGGAACTCCCATCGTCTTGAGCGCCCTTGTTCGCAGAAACCAAGAAGCCATGGCGGTCGGGCCCGTTCACGACGAGAACCACTCTCAGCCCCCTTCTCGAGCAGCAACGGCGACCTTCGTGTAGCCCGTAATTTTCAGCAAGCCGCAACAACTCCTTGTTGGTTTCTTTTCGAGCGGCCTGTATGCGCAAGGGGAGCCCGAAACAGCAGCGGGCAGCCCTTCGGGCCCGTGCGGGAAGAGCAGCGGCACTCCGTCGGCCCTCGTTCAGCCGCCCGAACAGCAGCGTCACCCCCGTCGGCCCTTGTCGGCTCATTTTTTTTACAACAGCCCCTTGCCGGGAGTTTTTCGGCGAGCGATCTGGCCGTTCGAGTTCACCGAGCGTCGCCATGAGATGCCGTCGTCCCCGTCAGCCCCTCTCTAGTCCGTTTTCGAGCGTTTCTCGAGAACGGTATCGAGTCTCGACTTGTCGTTTATTCTTTCGTAATTAATGTTGTGATCGGTTGTGCTTTACGTGTTCATTGAATTATAATATATGTGTTTGAAATTGTTCGTTGTATATATATCGTCGTGATTCAATGTGTTTGAACTGAATATAAGTGATTAGTTGATGTGGATTTAGGAACTTAGGATTATTTCAAACACAATGGCGCTGACCTTGTGTGGATTGGACTTGTAAATTGGTAGTTATGATTTTTCGAAAGTTATAATTGCTGTTTGGAATGAAAAATTCACCATAAATTGAATACTGGTTGAATTGTCTAGAAATTTTAGGTGCAGCTGTTTTTGATGAATATGTAGCTTGTATAAAGTTTTCGTGATTTTTAAAGGTCTTTAGCTATTTTTAAAAATTAATTAGATTTCTGTTCAATTTCTTGTAAAATGCATAAATAATTTTGTGATGCTCCATTTTGTCTGAATTTCGATTATGACATGTCTCTGGTATATTTATGTGTTGTGTAAAAGTTTTAGAATTTTTAGACTAGGTTTCATAGAGTTAATAATTTAATTGGTGTTTCTGCTCAAATTTGTTTTAATTGTGATAACTTGGTCCGAAGCTGAAAAATTCTGATTCTTGGTCGAGATGTTGATTATGTGATGTAGAGCATGCTGTAAAAAGTTTAGAATTTTCGGAGTTCAGTTAAGTTCAGTTTTGATATAAATTTGATACATGGCTGAGTGTTGTTTTATTTTTGTAAATTCACGTGCTGAGTGTTTAAGGCTGATAAATTTATGTGTTACTGATCACATGATGTGGTATTTTAGATAAAAATGTCATTGCCTGAATCGTCCATTATCATGTGTTTTTAATTTAAACTTGTTTTTATTGAAAAACTTGTTTGAATTTTATAAAATTATGTATAATGAGTTTAAAGCTGAAACTTGGTGAGTTTTCTTAGAAATGGGAGGTGAATTTTATGTAAAATTTTCGGAACCTAACTCGTTGATTTGATATACCTTCTAATTCAAGTGTGAATTTTGGAAATTGTTTTCTATAATAAAATTTGTTAAGTGTTGTTGACCAAATGTGCTATGTGTTTACTTGTGGTTCGTTTGATTGTTTTCATTTGTGATTATGTGAACTTGAATATGTGGTTTGATCGAGTCTAAGTCCTAGAGTTCCCATATCCACAGAACTTCACGAACCACTTAGTCGAATCAAGTTCGGTTAAGTCAATTTGTGAATTTTCTACTTAGGTCTAGATTAAAGTGTTGACTCTAGTATATGGACTTAATGTAGGTGTCTAGAGGTGTTGACCTCGGCTCATTTCGAGATTCGTGACTTTGAACTGTTGTTGCAGTCAGGTGGGTACATATATGATGTATTCCATATCTATCGCACTTAATATTTCGTATAAATGCTTTGTTTTGAATAATGATGTATGCGTGAGAATCCTAGTCTAAGTGTCCCGTATGTTAATTCCTTTGAGGATGCATAAATAGTGAGAGGTCATCGGCCCGTAGATTCGGAGAGGTGACGCCCAGGTCCGTATGATATTCGTGAATGGGAAAAACATCTCTACTGTCTCCTGGAAAGGATCCCAGGCCCGTAGCCATTCGGTGATGGGAAGGTTTCCAGTTACTTCCTTGCCGTGTGTGATCGGAAGATTGTTGTATGTACATAGGAGGTTTGCGATAGGGCCAAGTAGGGAGTTAGACTGTTGGATTCTATGCATACTGAATACTATGGTTTTGATGGTTTAAAATGTTATGCGAGATAAACTGTGCGATAATGGTGAGTTTGTTGGTTATGCTCACCCCCATTATTTTTCTTTGTTGTGTCTTCTCTTCCTTTGCTTTAGGTTGAGACAAGCTGGAGGCGGTGGCGTAAAGACGAGCGAGATGGTGGTCATTTACTGGATGTGTCTTTGCTTCCGCTTGATTTTATTTATGTTAAACTACTTGCTTTTGTTTTGGATTGTTAATGCTTCCGTCGATTTGGATTATTTATTTTTTTTTCTTTCGAACTATGTTTGATTTACGTTTGAACCTAGATTTATGCTAGACGATTGAGAATGATTTTTAGACTTATGTTCTTTCATGGGATTGGTTATTTTGATAGCTCGAGCAGGTGTAGGTTCTTTGAATGATTGGTTGTGTGGTTTGCTGTTATTAATAAGTAGCGCCCGGTTCTCGTTAAATGTTTTTTTTAATTTGGATTTTTTTAAAAAAAAAAAAAACTCTGATTTTTATTTAAATAAATTCGGTAAATTCTTTAAAATAAAACGGGGCGTTACATTACTTCTCAAGATTGAGTGCCTTCAAGTATTTCCTCACGTCATCCGAGATTTTTAATGAGTCTAGCAACTCCCAATCAAGTGTCCTTGGGATCCGACATTTCATCCTCATGAGGCGTTTGTACGAGTGCACCTCATCTTGAGAGAAAACTGGGAATGGGATGCCGTGATTTTGAGCCAAAGTTTGAGTTTCGGTGTCCGAGTTCGAGTTGCTATTGTTCGAGTCCGGTGAAGAAGGCGGGGTTCTCGTAATTGCTTTTTTTTTTTTGCCTTGGTTGTTTCCTTTGGAGGGAGCTTTTGATGACGAAGCCTTTCCCATGATCGGTTATTGAATACTCTCGAAGGAAGTAAGTGGATGCAAGCGATATAGCCCTCTTACCTAGTTGTGACAATTTCTCGAACACCTTGTGTGCGCAATAATGTGTTTGAAAATTGTGAAAAGGGAAGAGAGTTAGATTCATCAAACCACAAACAATTAATTTGTAACTATATTATTCAAGCAATTTGCGAGACCTTACCGTGTGTTGAAGTCGAGAGGACGATGTTTGTCGGAATGGATTTTGGCAATTAGGGCTTACGAGAAGACAACCTTACCGGAATATAAGTTGCCGGAAAAAGGGAGTGTCCTCGCCGGTCGGAAAGAGGTGGTGTTGTCGCCGGAGATTGGAGATGAAAGGAACGATTTTCTCGAGCGGAGCGGTTTTTCTTTTTTTTTTTTTTCTTCTCTTAAGAGTTGGTTTTGAAAAATGA